CTCGAAGTAGATCTCCGTGTACCAGGAAATCGTGACGAGTTTCCGTTCTCGCTGGCGAATCGTCTCTACAGAGTTATTTCCCCCAGTTGTCATTGTGCCGTCCGCGAAGATTCAGTTTTCCAGTTTGGGCGCGAAAACCTATGACGGGAGATATTTCTCTCTCGACCGGTAATAACAGCAATGACTGGGCTAGAATCGGGACTTCCTGGCCAGGAAAGTAATGCCACCGTGTTGGGAGAGTAACCAGGATCAACATCTAGGCGTTTTGCTCGTGGATGTTTCTTGTAAAAGCGCTCGAGAAGTCGCTTGTCCAAAATATTCTCTGCGTCTTCCCACGTGTTTTGACTATCCGGGAAACCCAACCACTTGATTTGGTATTCGGGTTTACGATTTTTTAGACGCTGTGAGACAATTTCTTCCGCAGAATAGACGTTGTCCATATCAACTTCTTCTTCTGATTCCTCGTCTTCCTCAGAGGTATTTTCGTTTGCTAATTCAGGGCCGTCGTTCGGCGCTGGGGGCTGGTCAGCGGTGTCGTCCGCGTTGGTCTGGTCACCGGCGAAACTGTCATCGGGGAGATCGCTATCGAGCAAATAAAGCTCATCAATGTCCTCGGGCGGTTGACGGATTGGGCGAGAAGCAGGATCAACATAACGCTTCATTCGGGCCACATGAACCGTTGTAGAAATGCGTCGGTTATCCATGGCTCTTAAGACGCAGTGGACGGGGGAAAGGAACTCGACGATACGATAAGGGCCATGGTAGTTATGAGCTAACTTCTTGGAGAGCCCCTTTCGGTTCTTAGGAGTATAAACCCATACCCTCTCTCCGACAGCGAAAGGTGGTGACGAGGCAGTAAGGTCATGGAGTTCCTTCATTTTCTGTTGTGCTCGTTGGGTATTCTCGGCGGCAATTCGCCTAACTCTTTCCACATGCTCGACAACACGAACTCTGTGCTCGGCGACGGACACAGACATTTCCCCAGGGGGAATCAAGGCGGTGTCCATAAGCAGTAGGGGTTCTCGGCCATACAACATGTAAAAGGGGGATTCCCCAGTGACTTCTGAGGTTGAAATT